ACCACATTTGCATTACTGTATTTCACACAGCACAAGCTGCATGCCCAATATGCTTCATTTTTTCCCTAGTACTTCTGAGCAGGAGGCAACATGAAACCCAGTTCCTTGCAGTAGTTATATATGCAACTGCCTGTAGAAATCAGCTACCTAGCTTTGTTTATATGCCTAGGAAAACCAGGGTGCTCTTTTAATATAACAAATTTAACAAAATCCATCTGGACCTCAAGCTGTGCTCATCATTCCTGTACGTGATAAAATAGTTTGTCCGTCTTGGGGAATTTTGCTGACAGCTTACTGAAACCAGTTACTGCCTAATCCATAAATGAGACAGAACTTCTTTCATCCACATGTGTTTTCTCTTAGTATCTGGGTGGTTGAAAGATCATCACTGCAGAAAGTTTAGATGTATTGCTGTGATAATGGAATCCACTAGCAAAGCAAAGCATAAAAATATAATGTCACCATTGTTGTCATCCATCTGTATTGACAGATATAAAAAAGGCCACCAGCACTGTATTTTTTTAACTGAATCTCAAAGCTGCAACAAAGTCGTAAATAGAGAGTAAAGTGCCTACCTCAGATTTTGGAGTATTCGAATCCCACAGTTAGTCATACAAGAATACAAGAAATTTTAGGATGAAAAGAAATCAGAAATCACATCTAAAATCATTCTCTCCCTTAGGGTACCATTTATCATTTACTGCAGAATTTTCCACTAATCGTCTAAACAATTTTAAGTGTTTTTATACTTAGTGGTATGAAATTATAATCTCCCATAAATAAAGCATATTCTTTGCAATGAAATTTCACTTATCGTATATCATCTTCCTTCATTCTGTTTACATTTAATTTGAAATTTTGCTGTTGGCTCTAGGATTAGATAGGTCAATGATACTCTTTCATATGCCGAACCTTGCTTCCCTTCTGTGTGCACAATTTTCACAATTCTGAGCTTGGTTATGGACAGATTACATGGGATTAGTAATGTTGAAGTATTGCCACACTGACCAATTTAGGTAACTTTGTTAGGAGCCTGCTGTAGAAAATTCATTATCCTCCTACACAAAGTTTACACCAAGGGGAGAGAGGCACCTCCAGAAATCAAGTTTAATTACATTTCTGATCTATGTTGTCTCCTGTAGGACACACTAACTACCCAGTCATTCAAGGACAACTAGTCTCCTGACTTAGTCTCCTGAATTCCTCATTTCTGCACAAACCTAATCCTGTCTGTCTCGTGATATTCTGGTCATAACCTTCCCCTCAGGCTTCTGTTTGCTTACCATATCAAAACAACCTGGCTATGAAAGCTGTAGAGTCTAATATCACTTTTTGTGCCTGTTTCAGCTTTTGTTGAGGGCCCAAACATTCTGTCGTTGAGGTTGATACTAAAGTAGGTTGCCTTTGGTGGCATGTGGAACAGGCTCAGACCCAGTAGTGATCACAGACTTTGATCATTACTGAGGACTTCGTAACCCGGAAATCAGAAAGAGAGTACCATCGTTGTCATCATCATCATCAGGACCACTCAGTCAAATTAGGAGAGTGAGACACTAGCCCTGTACATAAAAGGGTAAAACTTCCTTGGTCTTCAGCAGGGCCTGAATGCTACCACTTCTGTATCCTGACCATCTTCTGTGTGACTTCTCAGAGGTACTTCCCTCTCCCATGAATAATCTGTATTTCTTTCTGAAAGAGTGGAAAGCATCAACTTTGCATACTTGTTTAATAAAGCACACACAATGGATTTTTACCTCCTAGGAAATGAAGTTGAAATTAAGCAATATGCTTACTATACCTTAGCTGGAAGCAACAAAGAAGATAACTTTTCCGATGGAATAACCTAACCTAAAGTAACTGCAATTATTGAGACAGAGTTTCAAAGACTTGAATTATAACATGCAATGTGACTGCTTACTGAACAGTTTAAAAAAGTACAAAGTCTATAAAAAGCATCCACCTTTTTCAATGTATATGTTTTGGTTTTGCTTACATGTCTGCACACATACAAACATGTACATATCAAACACACTTGAATGTATACAGTGCCTCAAAAAGATAGCTTTATTTCTCAGATGTCTAACACAGTAGAAATACATGAGTCTTCAAGTAAAATAAAATACCCATAAGTATAAGAAGATAATTTTCACAATACCCTTGAAAATGTACTCAAATTAGGTTTGAAGAGTTTTGCCATTATTGAATAAAGATGAATGTGCCATTCAGGTGTTCGCTACTATATTCATTATCTGCCTTCTGCCATAATAACAAGATAATTTTTCTTGTTCCTCTCAAAAACCTGAAAGAACTATTTCTAGGTTATGAAGGACCACAGATCAAATTAATGGAAAATACTCCGTTATGTGCATTTGCCAAATAATTTTTCCAACATATATACTATGAGCAATTTGCTACCTTAAGCTTTCTACATGCCAACTCTTTTCACAATACAAGACGTTAGAAAACAGAAAGTATTAAGAACTTTTAAAAGCATATTCAGAACTGTAACAAGCTAATAAAATGAGGCATAGCTGCACAATAAATGTGTAAAAATATATTGCCTTAAAGATTAACATCCACTATGAAAAGATAGATTAGCTCATTTTATCACCACTACTTTAGAAAAAAAGTAAAATTATTCTGTTATTGATAGTAGTTAGATTATCTATTGAGTTAATAAATTCATGTGGAAAAGGTGAAGAATGTGACATTATTACCCACCTTACATTTTCCCACTTTTCAATACTCTTCATTCAATGAAAGAGGAAGGTTTAAGTATCTGTATGAAACTACTTTTCACTGCACATATATAAAGGCCTCAAGTGTTCCATGGAACAGCCATAGGAGTTCCTTAGGACCTTCTAAATCATTAACTCCTGCCCTGTAAATCAGTCAGGCATGTTGGTTCCTTCTGTAACCAATGCTGAGATGCAGTGGCCATGAAAGCAATTGTATCACAGAAATCAGTCTTGGGAGTCATGCAAGCTACCTGTCCACGTTTCAGATAGCAAAACGCAGGCAAGAGGCAAGGATGAATCCCATCAAAGACATCTTTCTTTTTTAATTTCATATTTTGGCTTCTTTCTAAACAGAAGCTTTTATTTATTCATTAACAGCCTAAAACTAAAAAGCTGTTTGGAAAAGAATTTCAAGTTATTTTCCAAAATATTTATTTTGATGGGAAAAAAGGAATTATTTAAATTAAATTGACTGCTATGAAAAGAAGTGTTGCTAAGTCCACCACAGAGAGTTCAAATCAATGTATACTTGCATATGCCCATTTATTTGTAGAAAACCTGTTTTTCAAACATAGTTGTTTTTCTTAGAAGGGGACATACTATTTTATGCTAATTTCCTAATATTACTTCAAGACTGTGACACATAAAAAAGCCAATTAGTATTAAAAAAAAAATTTTATATTTCTGTTTGTTTCTAAGTCCTGGAGCTCCTTGTTTTGGTAGCAGCTCAGAATACTAAACATATTTGTAGTATAAGACAGAAATCTTTCATACAGAAGAAAGGTTTTAGAAGTAGGGATCTCTCTTTATCCTTAAAGGTTTTACTGAAAAATATATGGATAGAGAAAATCATATTCTCTCAGGCAGTACAGAAGTTTATGGTGACAAACATCGAACTTCTGCGTGTGTGAAAGCAAACAGAAAAATTCTTGCTTTCAGTTTACAGATAGGAAATAAGAAAGATAGTATCCATCTCGGTGTAACAATTTTTTACACGGAAACATTTTGCAGCTGAAACATAGCTACGAATAGAAATTTAATCAAAGAATGAAGTTATTTTAAGCTCCTGGCATTAAAGTAGACGACCTAGAGCACACTGATGGAAGTAGAAATTTTGTTAAACCAGCCTTAGATGTCACTTTACTAAGGCATGAATGCTCGGGTTCTGGACATGGAATGATTGCCTTTCCTTGTAATGAAGTATATTTAAACATAGCAAAGTAGAAAAGGAGAAAACGGTGCTGAAGGACCATGAGATCTTGGGGAATTATAATGAAAAGGAAGCTTTATAAAAAATTCATCCCGTCTTTGCCTACCATTCCTGAGCAGACAAAGGACTACTGTGCAATCGCTGTCTTCCAAATAGTAAACAACTGACTTACTCCAAGCTTTTTTGGACAACCAGAATTCCTTGAAATAGGGCGATGTATATATAAAGGAACACAGTAAATATTTTTTGACTAAAAATTCACCATCGGTAAATTAGAAAAGCAGTAAATATTTCAGTTCTTTTCCTAAATTATAAACAAAAAACAATAACCAAAGGTATTTACATGAAGCTGGCTAAGCCCTTAATTCCACTGATTAAAGCAGTGAACACTTGTAGACCTACATTCATAGGAAAAACAATTAATTTCTGAATAACAAGATGTTATCTTATGCAGTATTAAATATCCTTCAGAAAGCAGAAATTCAACTTCAGGAAATGTTGAGAGTGGTCAGTTTTTTCTAGGATCACATCAAATTACCTAGATTACATGTTAATAATAAACTTCACAGAGAAAGCATTCAAAGACATTGATTTTCATTAGTAGAGGAAAAAAAAAATACAACTGAAACCATTTCACATTGTAATGCCCAAGGCAAATGCAAGTGTATCTTAATTTTTGTATCAAATGATGTAACTAAAATACCATCATCAACATTTTAATATAAACATATTTTTGCAACATTCCTCATTTCAAGACAAAGATTTCTATTAGGCTGAAGTGTGAAAAGATTTTTCAACTGAAGAAGTATGCTTATTATACTCATGAAAGTGTAATTTAGATATAATGGACTCAAGAACCAAAATTTCATTATCATAGTCTGATACTTTTCATCCATCCTAGATCATTGATTTATCACATTCTAGACATACAATTGTTCATTAAGTATGCAAAAATTTTAAACAAGCAAATAATAAATCAAAAAAGTACTAAACCCAACACAGCAATATATAGAACTCTTCATTAAGAATTACACTTTACATAGTACTGCACGTGAAGGGCTATTTTTAACTTCCCCAATAAAGTACACGTTGCTAATACTCTTTCCATTTAAATAGATAGTTGTGTTTAAAACTGATTCTTTTGTCATGGCCAGTAAGCAACTACCTTCTCAAAATATGTTTTCAGCTTCAGTCTGAAAGCAATATAATTCAGCAATTAAGGATTCTGCTGAGTGTTTTTCCTTTCTAAAACTAAATCATAAACTGACCACTTAAAAGAAACAACTAGATTAAGGCCACTTCTTCTCCTTCAAAAAACATTCAAATAGAATGAGGCACTCAAACCCAGAATGTGCGGGGATGAAAAGAGTTTATAACAAATGAAAGTATTAATTGTGCCTTTTCCCCATGTATTTTGCTAATTATTTGAAATCATTCCTGTAGATGTGGAACTGGGCATGTGAGGAAAACATGAAAATAACCAGCATACTAACCTCATAGTGTGCTGTCTCTTATTGTGCAAAGGACAATAGAATCAATAATAAAGTGAAAGAATGCCCTAAAATTAATTAAAATTTTATTTGAATTTAATTGGGAATGTTCTCTGCTCTCACTCTAGCTTTACTCCCAAGAAATGCAAGCTTAATATCAAACAAACTTAAGATACTGTTTTCCTACATCCACTGCAAAAATAGCTAAAAAGAAAAAGCCAGTCTTTTAAAGTGGTCTGATTTTTTCACAAAATCTGGTCTTTTTAGAACAGAAAAATACAAAACTCTTACACCTGAGAAAATTAACTTTTTAACCTACCTTGACTGCATATCTTGATGTGTTTTGGACTGGCTGATTTCAGCTGGAGGTGAAGGGACTTGCTGTTGTAGCTCCACCAAAGACTGGTAGTACTGTTGCTGATGATGTTGCTGCTGTTTGTACCGAGACAAACTGAAAAACAGCCCTAAAATGGCTTTCAAATTTCCATTCCTTATTTCTATTTTTAAAAAAAAAAAAAAAAAAAAGAAAAAGAAGTGAAAACACTGTGGTTTTAGACTTCAGTTTTGTAACAGTTTTATACTAACACATCTCTGTACATACCTATAGTTGCACATGTTTATGTCTTGTACCTCTTCATTTATCTCTAATACCAGGGATATGTCAGGTATCACTAATACTTTATTGTTTGTTATTATAATCTTTGCTCATTTATGCGTCATGTCATGGTTGCAATAAGCACATATCCCTATAATGTCCTCATGATGAGTCACATGTACAGGGTCATAAAGAAGAGTACACCAAACCTTAAATAACGTACATAATGTGAAATGGATACTCCTGCCTCAACACAGTACAAAAATTATCAGTAAGCAGAGTGGCATTCAGAAAAATCTGAATTCTTTCTAGCCTTAGGCACACACCCCTTCTACCTCATGGCTTTAAATTACTCTTCTTGCTTTTGGGGCAAATTCTGTGCACATTGGGAATAAACAGTGACTTCTAGAAAAATTGGAAAGAAAAGATCATAACAGTCTTGTGGGTGAGCACGTATCCATTCACGTGAATTTGCAAGGAACATGAGAGAAGGAGATTAATGGAAAATACTTATTAAAAAAGGTGACCATAAAGTTCATGATTACATCTTTGAACTTTCAAACTACATGATTTTCTAGCTTTCTATTTTAAACTGCTATTACTGATTAATGAAGACTTCAAAACTACAGCTTTCACATGAGGCTAAAATAGCTACTCGTATGAAATTCTGGTGAGCCACAGTAGCATCCTCACGTCTCCCATTCCTTCTCTGCCTTTCCCCAGCCCGAGACAAAAGTTTTTAAAAAGATAATGTTATTCTTCACTCATAAAGGATCTCCATGTCAAAAAAGAAGCCCCAGGAGGCTTTAATTATCTGCGGCACTTAGGTCTGTTCATAACCTCATTATTAATTTTCTTTGGCACTGAACTTCTTGTGAAAGGTTTTCATTAGGCCTATAGCCTTGTAACCTAACATGCAACACTGCGATCTTTCTGCAAACCCAAATACTGAGCTATATGTGCTACACAGCTTTCTTCGGTAATTTTTAAAGCAGAATTTATAAACAATGACTGTCATATTCGTATCTTTTAAACCATATTAATTTTCTTTCAATATGATTAGGTGAAATGTTAGTGCCTACACTAACAGGCCAGCAAACACTGGAGACCTTACGCTGTCAACCCGTTCTTCAAAAGCAAACCCAATCCTGGACACTGGAATATACTTTGCCAAATGAAAATTTGTTCTAAGTACCCATACTTTCTCATCTTCCCTCTGAAGATGCTGAAGGATCTTTGATTCCCCATGAGATCTCCAGAGATAGGCAGAAGAACTTCCTCAGAATTAGAAAGTTTTTTAAGCAAGAATGACTTTTGCAGTCACGTTGGTTTCAAGGAAGATCATTATCAAGGAACACAGAAAACTTCTATTTAAATAATCTTAAAAAAATCCCAACAGAAACACTGTCCATCTAAGCTGCTCTGATTCTAAAAGATTTTCTGTACATATCAGTTTATTTATTCTTATGATTTGCATCACTTAATGCTCAGAAAAAGAAGCCTTTTTTTTTGTTAAATCCCACTCCTCATTTTTTATCTTAAAATTTTGCTCTTTTTGTGTTAAACTCTATTTTTTACTATTTCTAAAGAAGAATGTTATCAGTTTTGAACCTCTTTTTCTTTCCTACTTTTAAACAAGCTGAAGTTGGAAGATATCTCTTAAATAGAAAAAAAAAAAACACCTGGAAACTGGTAATATGTACTAAACACTTGCAGGGAAGAAGAGTGGAGTGTTTTTCTTTGTAACAACTGGCTTATTACATATCATTTGGGTTCTCCAGAAGAGATTCTGCAGTCAGGATTTGAAAATTACTTTTGTTCTTGATCAAATCTCAAAATGAGGTGGGAGACTGGTTGTGAAATCTTCAAACCCTGTAAAACTTGTGGTTTACTGTTCCAGAAACTTTCTGGTCATTAATATATGACCCAGTAGTAATAAGACACATTTACAAGACTTTTTACAAGGGCTTATATTGATAGGACAAGGGCTTTAAACTGGAAGAGGGAAAATTTAGATCAGATATAACGAAGAAACTCTTCACCATGAGGTTAGTGAGGCAGTGGCACAGGTTGCCCAGAGAAGCTGTAGATGCCCCATCCCTGGGAGTGTTCAAGGCCAGGTTGGATGGGGCTGTGAGCAACCTGGTCTGGTGGAAGGTGTCCCTGCCCATGGCAGGGGGGTTGGAACTGGATGGGCTTTAAGGTCCCTTCCAACCAAACCATTCTATGATTTACCAAAGCCTGTTACAAGAAACAGAGTTATGGTTTCTAAACTGAATTGATTTTAAACATGAATGTGCTGAAAAAACACTATGAAGGTAAGTGGACAATTTAATGATAAAAAAGTCTGTTTTTCTCAATTTCTTCTCCTCAAGAGCAATTGAAATATTCAGGATTGTACATGCCAAAAATGGTATATTTAAGGGAACTAGTATCATTACAAAGATATTAGTGGATTTACACCAGATTCATGACCAACTGCAAGACAGCAAAACTAGGTTTAATCTTACGTCAGAACTCAAGGTCTACCTTATTAAAATTCTGTTTTGAAGATTAATGAAAGTTTTAAAAAATAGCCCTTCCATTTAACCCTGATAGTATTATTACTTTTAGTAGTATTTGAACTTAAAGCTACACAGTTGAAGCTTATATCCTATTAAATATTATTTTCCAAAGCGAAACAAAAGTATGAATAAAGGAACGTATTATAGAATGCACTCAGATTTCAGTTTAACGAAGTACAGAAAAACCGTGTCATGGTATTAAACAATGGAGTATTCTTATGAAATAAATTCATGCTATTGACACATTTGATTGTTATTTTATATGTAAGTGAAAATAGGCTGCAGTAAAAAATTTAAGTTCTAAACAGCTTTGAGGTGAATGCAACATGTAAATGTTCAGTATTCTCTTGCATCAACAAATCTACAGTATATACAGAGATTCTTTTAAAACAGTTAAAGAGCTTTCTTTAAGTTGTCAGTCAAAATGAATATATAGTACATATCATCGCTCTGCTACACTTCTGCTAAGGCACTAGAAAGGTGGAGACAGTGAAAGACAACAATTCTGAGTTAATTTCAATATCAAACAGTGGTTAACATTCAAATTTTTTTTCTCAGTGTATCTTCTAAAATTCAACTGAAATTATCATCTCTGGAAAAAAAATATTTTTCCTTCTAGCTATTAGTTGCACTACAAGCAAAATAAAAATATAAGGTTGCGTCTCATTAACACCTATTGCCTTAAGCTGCCACAGAGGTCAGAGGGATTTTGAAGGTGCATAGTACCTTACAGAACTGCTTAATTTATTACAGGACAAATGCTTGTACACATCTTATTAATTTACAAGATAAAGTATCCACCTGCCTTAATTTTACATTACAAGGCAAATACTATGTACTAATTAAGACAATTGGTATTTTAATGGTTTTGCTTTAATATATTTACTAATTTAGTTGTAACTGTATTAGGCAATCACTTGGGGTGACTAATAGAGCAAAAAGGGCTGTAACAGAAGCAGCAAGACCATTCACCCTTTCACTTAATACATGATATCAAAGGAATACAATAATTTCCAAACTCATCCTGATAGTATTACTACTAATAATAAATTTGCTTAAACAAATAGTCTTCCCCAGGTTTACTTAACTGAGAAAGATTCTCATATCCATGTTTGTTGTTTTGAATCCCATATATGAATAAGTTAAAAAAATATGCTTGGGAAACTCTGAACCTATCTAATATTGTGGAGACAACATGAAAAGGTTAATACTATTGATAAAACATTATTTTAAAACATTGTCTCAAGTTTCATAAACATATTGAATTTCTTGGTTCAATTTCAAGGGAAAATTAAAAGGAAACTCTCTCACTTGCTATCACTAATCTATACTTGTATGCTGTTCAAGACAGCTGGAGTTTGCTATTTAGGTACAAATAATTTTTATCAAGAAAATTCGTTTTCAGAAAAAAAATCCTCTTATTTGTTCTGATGATTTGTTTCTCTTACCTTCTGCAGAAAGACCTTGGACATTTACGCCTCTGGCTGCCAGAAAGCTAAGGCAGACATCAACATTCTCAATCTGCAATGTGAACAGAAATAACAAGCAGCATAAGACTATTTGACAAAATGTAGAAATGCAGGGAGGAAAAAAAAAAAAAAAAGAAACAGCCCAGGAATGAATACTTTACATTCATTGCATACTACAGCTCTTTACCAAAGTTTAACAAGAATGATTACTGCTAATTGGGGAATTGATATAAAGCTTTCATTGTCCACTTTGGTGCTTAAAAACAATTCATAAAAGCCCGATCCAGAATGGCATGCTGGCAAATCAGCAACCCACCTACTTAACATAAAACTGAATTTTATATGCTACAAACAAGCAGCAATGAAAGCATCCATAGAGGATTCGATACTGAGTACATGTCTGGAGACGTGGGTGACTGAGTTAACTAAAAAGTGTAAGCAAAACCCTCCAATAAATGTATTAGCAAAGGTATTTTCTTGGGATGATGTTAAATTCTGTGAAAATGATGTCACAGCATTGGTTTAGTCTCTATTTCTTTCCTTCAAATGTTATGCTAAATAATTTTAATTTATTTAATGTTTATGCATCTTGGAAGAGCACTTGCCTAGTGAAGGACATGGTGCTGACTTCTTTGGTGGTTTAGAAGAAGCCTAAAGTTACCACAGAGAGCTTTAGATAAGAGAAGAACACGCAGCCTAAATGTAGATCAATAAAAGGATAAAACTTCTGCCTCTAAAACAAGTAATCACAGAACTAATTTGACTCCTTTATGTGCCTATTTCTAATAGACTAGGGAGCCAGAATGTTCCAAAAGGTTCTCTTGCGTCACCATCCCCAGCTGTTTCCCCCAGTCCTCCCAGGATCTGCGAAGAAAATACTCAGCTATAAATGTAAAATCTTTTAACCAAAATCTTTGTCTATAAATATGCCGCTATGAAAACAGAAAAATTATGTATAGAGAGGTATCCTATGTCAAATATCTTCAACAGACTTGATTTTAAAATACTTTTTTTAGGTTGATAGATTTTTTCAAGGCAATTAGGATGACAAAAATAAAACAAAATGTTTAACAACATATTTTAAATACCTATTTTTATTGGAGAACATTAAAAAAAAAAAAGGAATATTCAACACCAAAGACATAAGCCTGCAATAGATCAAGTCCATGCAGTTAATTTTATTCGAATGTTTACACATTTTACAATACCTCATATCAACAGTTTTCAACCATCAAAAGATGAGGGGTAAATTCATTCCTTGAATAAAAGCTACTTGATCTTTGGCAGTATCTTTTCTCGCCTAGGAGGAGGCCCTTTTATTATTGTCATCTTTCTATGATTGTAGTTCTGCCATTATTCTCAGAAAATGGTATTAGCTGAAAGGAATAAAAATCTTCTTTTTACTACTGACTCTAGGAGTATACATTATGAGCTCAAACAGACTGTCTTGATCCACAGGTAGTATTTATAAATACCTGCAAAATTTTTAGAGATGTATTTTTTAAGAACAATAAACTCCAAAGCATTAATAAACACGTCTTTAAAAAAGTCTTTTCAAACACTTGTTTTCAAGGACATGCTACCATTTCTAGTGAATGCTAAATAATCTCTCTCCTTAATCAATTAAAATAACCTCAACAATCCAAACTCTGCAGCTAACAATAACTAAAGTTACTCCAAAATCGGGTTTTATTAAAAGGCTTTCATAAATCATTTTGGTGGATGTCGTCAATTTGCATAGCTGCGAATGTGGAATAACCACCCGAAAAGCAATGGGGTTACCCCAACTCTGGCCCAGCACAGTAATTGCAGAAACTCAGGCAATAACTCCTTAATTTTCTTAAATGTCTATGTAGTTTCACACCATGAAAAAAAACCAAATTAACTAGGTCATTTCATAAGGTGTAGAGAGATATGACACAGCCAAGTCAGTTGCAAGTTGGCTGCAGCTAAAATAGGAAGATCTGCTTCTTCCTCACCTCCTCTTTCTCCCAGGTGCGGGGCCCTGCTGCTGCCGCCTCTGCTGGGCTTCAGCCCTTCTCTAAGCACACCAGGAGCTGGCTCCACGTAGAAAACTTGCCCAGCAAAAAAGGAAAACGTATTTTAGTCACTTCAGTTTCCTGCGCAGTCAGATAAGCACAGGAGTCAGCAGAGGGGAGGGCACGTCCCAGCCTGCGTGAGGCATGGTTTGGGAGAGGAAAGGGGAGGTGGGAAGGAGGGACAAGGCAGATGATGCCACTCCTGACAGCAACAGCAAGGCACTGGGCTGGCTCAGTCGTGAAAATAATGCACACGATGAGAATATTTCTACTTGACCTTTAAGCAATGTCAACTACAGAAGAAAACAATTTGAATGGAAATTTTCCTGTCCTGAAGAATTTAAAAGAAATGAAGATTTGTTTGGATATTAGCTGTATAACTGAGTGTGTCTTTGAACTTTTAAATCAACCATAATGCAGAATCAACTACTTCAAAGATGGGAAATTTTGCTCCTCAACTAAGTACTGGAAGCCAAAGGAAAAAAAAAAAGGAGAAAAAAAAAAAGAACAATCAGACTGACGTCAGCAGGATCCATCTCCAAATAACTGAAACAATATTTCCTAGCAGACCTCCTAGTGTAACCAAGGCATTTTTCATAATGGATACGTGTCCACTGCAGTAGTTCACGAGACCATAGCTATAAACAAAACTTAATTTATTAGAGAACATTTAAGCCCTAATATGCTGTGAAAACATCTCAATATCTATCTGCAATACTGAATATTTAGTAAATAGTAAGCCTAATACATAGACCTTAACATACATTTAAGGCGAAAAATATCCTATAGAAAGGTCATCTGGTTACTTTACGTGACTACTTTTACAGTATGTGTCTTTGAAGTCGCATCTCTCAAACTCTCAGACAAAACTAGTCATTACCATTAACACCAATGACTCAATATACTGCAGAACTACAAAGCAAATTCTGTTTTGCATCACAGTTCACCAAGCGAACTGTAATAGAAGTCCTAGGTCCGAAGCCATCCCTCTTGGTGGTGGTGTATGAAGCAACAGCAGTGGCCAACTTTCAGACAATAGACTGTGGTTGCACTGTTAGCCTTATAATAACGTCTTGTTTTGACTTGTGAATTGAGCAAGTTTGGTGTGGCAACTCACCGCCACATAATACACTGAAAATGTCAGAAAATAACTCTTATAGTCAGTTTTCTGATAATAACTGCAGTTACTACACAACTCTTAGGAACTGTTAGGAGATTCAGTGACACATGCTTTCATACATTCTTGGCTTATTTTCACTTTCCTTCCTCTCCAGTCTAGAAATGTTAGCCTTAAAGTTGTCCCATTTTGAAGCTTTCACTGTGTCTCTAAACATTGCTTTAATTACCTACTTCTTGCCTTGGCAAACCACAGTTTTTCTTTGAACTCAAACCCTAGCAGCCCCAAAGAGTTTTTATTCAAACTTACTAACAGATGAGAGTAATTTTGCAATTACAAAAGTTCTAAGAGATTTCAGGCAGCTTCCACTCCTCAATACTGTTTCAATCAAGAGTGGTATGAATCCCTGAAGTCCATGTTTATTTAAGTAGTTAGTGGTGGGGTTATTATATGCTGGGGTAAACTCTTCCTAGAGCTGACACTGCATATGTAGAACTCTACCTGCTTACATATCAAGGGCTGAAGACTTTGCAGTGTAACATTTAACACAGATGGCAGTCAAATTTGGTATCTTGCATATGCCCACAATTTTGCAGTGAATTTTGCTTGCAAAAAGTACCAGTTTATAACAGAGGTGGTGTTCACCATTATCACAAATAGTATCATCAGAATTACAAAGCGCTGTAGCAGAAGCTACAGTTCATTACAGTACAGAATTCAGGATATACAGATTGACTCCAAATGTTACATATCAAGGTACAGAAAATTGACTCAAATTTGCTTGTATATGTAGATGTTGCCAAGATCAGACTGTTGCTGAACAGCTCTCCATCACTGTCAATCCCCCATTTTTTTTTGTTCCAAGTCACTTATTTTATATTAAAGGTTCAAAAGAGTGGAAGAAGTGCAGTACTTTGAATAGCAGATCTACCACATTTAAAAGCCATGTAGATATTTATCCACTTAGGTATTCAATTAACCATGTTGAAATTCAATCAATACTACACAAGATTGCTTTTCAGAGGTAACAAAAAACTATCTCTGAAAATATAATCACTTCCTTATCAAAACTCAAGAATAATATTTCCAATTCTGAAATGCATCTCCAGTGTCGTGGATATAGATAAACTCAGCTAAGAGGATGATAATTTAGGAACTAAGATTTGTGGGCATCATCAGGTAGATAACACCATTTGATGCTTTTAAATTAAGCCTACTGAGTTATGCTTACAATAGATTAAGCTTCTTTCATAAATCAGATCCTTTTAATACCATTCATACACACAGTATTACGAAAAAAGCACCTAAAATACTTACACCATAAATATTAGTGAGCCCCAAGGTATTTCTACACTCACATTTTAAGGGGTTATAGTCCAAACGATGATGTACGAATAAGCGGCAATAGCACAACTCTAATACTATTAATACATTACATAGCATATAAAGAAGATACATTGCAAATCTGCTGTAACATACTACATTGCGTAGTTGTGGGTAATCTGCTTTTGACTGGAAGCTATTTGAAATTTTACTGACAGAAATAAATCACTAAACCAGACTGTGGGACTTGCATGTAGATAAGAAGTAGTACTTAATATCCAGCAGTTAGCAGACTTACAGGAAGAGCTCATTTGTGGGATTGTACTCACCAGTGACTCAACATATAGAATATGTCTATTTATTATAATTATTTTTGCTGTTACCAAGATTAGCTTTCATGTCTTTTGTCTGGCAGACAACACTTTCTTCACTTCCAAACATAAATTTAATTGTGGGATGCTCAGAAGACAAGTACTGACGACTAACACAACACTATGTTTTTCTGTATTTATAAGAAGCTCTGAAAAATATTTTGGTTTGACTAACTCTCTCTTGTTAATTTTACGACAGTATAGTTTACAAGTACATATAGACACATACACAAGTTGTCATTTGTCTACTTTGAGCTGGATTCCTCCTGCTGGAGAATGGGACACCTTCATAAATAATGACACCTTATTATTACAGAGTGTTTCTATACACACATGTTCCTAAAATACTCTTGATTATTTTGGCAGCAAAAGTAAAACAATAATTTCTGTTAGCACTTCATTCAGTGCTATCTTCTGTAGCTCTATGTGTGTTTTAACATTCTAACTCATGACCCAAAGCCCCAGATATAATTTGGCAAAGGATTTGCTCTGTATTCTAATGTTGCTGATGAGGGACACTTATGGAAATAGTCTGCCACAGGAACACAGAGTCACATATGTACTCACCTTCCAGAGCACAGAAAGCCCATAAAACTCTTCAGTATTCATAGCATTTATTTTTTTGACCAATACCAATATTAAATAGTACTCCTTCGAGATTAGTATTACGACATGAGATATTCTGTGTCACAGTAACTGTCTTTCAAACATATTTTACCAGCAAGATTTCTTCCTAAATTTCCCCAGAGTATTAACCTAAGTGGAGAGACCTGTATTTGACTCTCTCTTTCCCATGGTTTTTCATCACTAACAAAATTTGTGGAGGTCAATGGATTTAAATGAATGCAGAATTAGAAAATAATCTATTGTTATTACATAGCACATTCTCATTCAAGTTCTGTAGCACTAGTAGAATCAAAATCACATAGAAATACAATTCAGGCCTTACAGGTAGCATCCTAGACTCTAAATATTCACAATACACATGCTGCATAAAAGGAATAAAAAGAAAAATGGAAGAGCAGATACTATTTGTCTGTCTGACTTTCACATGAACTGAGCATGGAAGGAGACACACTAGCTGCTGAGTTCTGGCTACTTTCTCAGTAGTAGGTGAAGTGCCAGTGATCTTGTTTTAATTGTAGGCTCTAAAAAGAACAGAGATTCAGGCAAGCAACCGAGATGCCTTTGTGTCTGGATAAAAGCATTTTTGGTGCACATGTTGGAGCTGGTGAGAGAATGAAACTGTCCATGATAGACTTAGTTATATAGCATGCTCTGGAAGAAACTGGAAAATATTTCAACGTGGGCACAGGTTAAACTCTTATCTTACCTTGCCTAATAGAGAACAGTATGAGAATTGGTCATACACACTCTCACAGATACCTGTTTAAAACTCACACATACACACACACTACCTAAGAGGTCTATTTTTTGGCCAAATGTATAGTCTTGCACAACCTGCTATGACTAAAGCTGTTCTCAGAGATTGAGAAGGACAAGTTTATTTCACTTTCTGTTCTTCATTGACTCATCCATGGCACACATTGTGACATGTTGACTACTCACTTGTGGTGTGAGAAACACCTAGATTTTTTGTTTGCCTTGTAATTGTGTTCCTTATGGGTTTTCTTCCCAGCTGGTTTCACTAGTTTGTATTCCTGTTTTGCCTCTCCTTAAAGCAAAGGGCTAGGAAGCTACAGGACAGAGATGGAAAGAGAAAACGCTTGCAGCTCCATACTGACACGTTTTTATCCTCAGTTTTATCACTAAGATTTTTAACAAAGCCCGACTTCATAAACCAGGCAGGTGGACATTCAGTTTTTTCACTATGTACAAAACAGGCACAGGTCCAATACTTCCTTCACCAAAAAATAAAAATCAAACAACTCAAGAACTTTCTCCATTTTGAACAAGTGATAACTGAATACACTGCCTGCTATTCTACTTATTGTCATGCTTGCATTGTACATATCTATATGTACTGTGACTTTGACAGGCTGACTGTTGGGCCCAAATACCCAGTTCCAACAGCTGGCTTACCCCAAGGAGGTTCAATTGAAGTCAAAATAATTTTTCCAGATTAAAACTGGTATACCAAAATGGATTACCTAATCCAATGTCTTTATCCCTCTGTCTATCCAGTCTTCAAATGCCACACATTCAACCCTGTTTGGGAGTCTACATGATTCTTAAATGATCACTGAAACGAAATTCAGTAATGAGTATTCCCTGTTCTTCACCTGAAAACAGATGTTCAGCACATCTGA